AATGCCCAGCTTTATATTTCTACCTTTTACATTTTTGTTAATAATTTTAGAGATTTTTAGGGCCAGGGCAATGGCTCTCCAGGGAAAATCACTTCCTGTGCAAGCCTGAAGACCCAGATTTGATCCTTGGAACTTAGGAATGAGAGAAGCAATCCCACAAACTTTTCTGACTTCCGTATGTGCACCCATACACAGTGCAAACTACATAGGATGATATTAGTAATACAGTTTCTTACTTATAGATTTGCTCGTGTGTGTGTGTGTGTGTGTGTGTGTGTGTGTGTGTGTGTTGGGAGGCCAGAGATCAGTTTTAGGTCTCTTCCTCTATTACTAACATCTTGTTTTTGAGCCGAAGTCAGTTGCCAAACAAGCATAACAATCACTGTACTACTGAACTGTGGAACTGTGCCCCAATTCCCAACTAAGACAGGAATAAATCTTAAAAGTCTTAGGAGTTAGAGACTAAAACATAATTCAAATAACTATGGATGTGAGGGCATTCTGGCTGGGACATCAGTCGCCCCATTGATCATCATAGTTGATTTGGCTGCTGTGGTCGGCTCTCATGGCTTCATGTGCTTCCCCCCCTGAAGCTAAATACATGCTTGGCCCCACATGGCGGGCAATAGCCTCCCCATGAGTAAAGGAAGATGGGTCTTTGTTCAAGGACACATGAGTAGTGAACTCCTGTGCTAGAACCTTCAAACAAGTTCCCAACTAGTTGAACTTATATTCTTACTTAAAATGCATATTTAAAAGCTGCAAAATTGTATTTATTGTTGCTATATATGATGTATGGGGGCAGGGGAACATGCCATAGCACCATGGAGATCAGAGGACAACTTTATGGAGATGGTTCTCATTACCTTTATATGGATTCCGGGAATTGAACTCAGATCACCAGGTTTGTTGCTGACCCTAAAGTACTTATTTTTATTGTTCAGAAAGTATGAGAGATATGAGAAATCTGAGGATATGTTTTTAAAATATAAAGAAAATGTCACCTGTAACCTCTAGAGATACATGTTAGCCTTTTCTGTGTGTTTCAAAATTGTAATTATACAGTATATAATACTTGGTAGCATAGTTATTAAATCTCACAGGTACTTTTTGTGCTTTTGTGTGGATTTTATTTAAACTTGACTAAGCACATGGTTTGGCTGTGTAAGATTTTCTTTAGTGTCTTTCCTTGTGTGTTTCCTTAGGAGTAGCTTTGGTTTGTAGGTTGTAGAATAGCATGAGAAAGAGGTCAGCTTTGGATTATGTGTCTGAGGAAACGTGGTTGTACATTTTTGAACCCGTAACATACCTCATGTCTCTTAGAGGCTCGGTTGAGTGGGCCAGTTAAAGCTTCTTCCTGTTAGCAGTGTCTCTCAGCACTTCAGTAGAATCGCTTACTGTGTGAAGCATCAAAATTATTCTACAACCTCTGTGATGATAATTTAAGTGAAGTTTAATTGCACTGTATTTATATTCTTTTAAAATGAGGCTAGGAGGGACTGGAGCGTTGGCTCAGCAGTAAAGACCATGTACTCATCTTAGAGGGGACACAGGTTCATTTCTCAGCACTCACGCCAGGTGCCTACAATTATGTGGAACTGGAACTGGGGGGGGGGGGTCCTACACCTCTTGTTTCCATGAGTACTTGCATTCACATGCACAAGCACACACATTTAATTTAAAAATTAATAAAAATAAATCTTTAAAACAGGCCTTGAGAGATGAGTGCTTTGCTGTGCAAGGCATGAGTTCCTGTCACATAATGAGCAGGTCATGGCAGTGCTGGCCTGTAATCCTAGCACCTAAACTTGGAAATGTGTGGCTGTTGGAGGCTTGCTCCAGACAGTCTAGCTAGCAGTGAATTCTAGGTTCAGTGAGAGACAGTCTCAGAAAATTAGATAGGAGGAGACACCTAACCTCAACCTCCGACCCCCACATGCACACGCATAGATGTGTGCACCCACATACATACACTTACATACCACACACCCCAACAAGTAAATTAATATGTTTATAATTATATGGTTACATAGTTAATAACCCGTGTTAATAGCAAATCTGTCAATAATTGTATTTCTTGTTTGGGCACCCAACGAGTTCCCCACAGCTTTATATATTGAACAGGAATTACATAGTTTTTGAGCTGGAACATATTTTTGAGAAATCAAGGCTCAGAAAGATTAAAGCATACCACACTGATTAGCTGAATATAAACGTGGGCCTAATGCACAGGTGTCACTCAGGATACTGTCCCTGCTGCTACACCAAGGCCACTGGTGGTATTTTTCCTTGTGTGGTGGGGTGTGCCTGTCGAGATGTCTGAGTGGTTTCTTATATTCACTCTTAAAAAATATAAAAATTACCAGCCTTTGGAGAAATGCCTTGTAAAATAAAGCTTTGCCTAATTTAGCCACATAAAACTCAGTTCATAAAATTAACCCTCATTTAGAAGGCTTGATCTTGAGGGAAATTGCCAGGCCCTGAAGGCAGAGTTGCCTGTCTCAGAGTAATTGTACCATTGGAATTTGTGTGGTTTTGAGTGGTAATATCCCTTTGTGTTGTGATTTTTGAAAAGTAGAGTGAATCAATCTCTCCCTGCTCCCCCCACCTTGGCATACCTGACTGTTGTGTGTGTATATGTGTGTGTGTGTGTGTGTGTGTGTGTAAGACACACATCCCAGGCTGGTCTCAGAATCGTTGGTAGGTAAAATGGCTTTGGATTTGTGATTCTGCCTCCATTTCTATAGTGTTGGGATTACAGACACTGAACCTAGGGCTTTGTGCTTGCTAGGAACACACTATATCAGCTGAGCTATAGCCCACAGTCTATGAAAATTGCACTTAAAATTTCTTGAATTATATTTTTAAAAAATTCTGCATGAAGATGTGAATGTGCCATGGTGTGGGTATGGAAGGCATAGGTTAGCTTTGGAAGTTGGTTCTGTCCTTCTACCATATTGGTGTTGTGGATTGAACTCAGATCCTCTGGCTTGACAAGAGGTGACCAGTTTTGACCAGTCATTGACCAATTTTGCCCACCCTGAATCTTATGTTTTCAATGAATTGTATATCATAAAACTTCGAATGGCTAAGACAAATTCTGTAAGGTTTGTATTATAGAAGGAAAAGGTGCTTTTGAATTTTCTTGGCAGCTGCCTGCTTAGAGGTATTTACATCATATATGGCTTCTGCCCCATTTGTTCTGTAAGAGATGCAAACCTGACATTTTGGGGGCATCTTTTATTGCTCACTCTTCCTCTCTTCTCTTTCTTCCTTCTTCCTTTTCTCCATCTACCCTCTGTCTCTGCCTTGAGATAACCTAACCCTCCTTATAAATCAAGGGTAAACAGATGCCCTTCTACATTTATGGTGATTTATAAAGGACCATTTGAAATAGTTGTCAAGGGTAAAATGGTCATTAGACCTGGACCAAGCAATTTCATTTTTAGAAAATTATTTTAGAAATTTATGTATAAAATAAGACATTTACTTAGTATTGTATGCAAGCAGTACTTCCAGTGTTCCAGAATAAAGCTGTAAATTCTTTAAATGTGAATTAGTAAGAGACAAGTAAATCTGTTACATTAGTGTAATGGAATACCTTAGAACTGTTGAAGAGATGTAGCTGTCCTAGTGCTAAGCGGGAACAATTCCCACTAGTAAGAAGAGAATAAAGGGGATGTTTGTGTTTCGTTCTAAAACATGTATATGCCATGTATGCTCATGCAGATCCTGTACACACACTCACTATATTCCTGGTTTATTCACTACCCCTGGAAGGAATTATAAACCATTGATACGAGTGATTGCTTTCAATGTAGGAGAGACTTAACTTTCCAATATGCTTTTGTATCATTTGAAACAGGTTTTTTGTGCTTGTGTGTCTAAGCTCCCCACTCCCCACTCCCCGCCATCCTTAAGGATGCTTAAGTATCATTAGAGGGTTTGGCTATAGTGACACCTCTAGTGGTTCTGTGGTGTTCTGTGGTGTTCACCCCTCATTGAATGTGTGAAACTATGTTCAGGACTAAGCCTCTGATCCTTGTGCTGTTGTGGTAGAAGCTGAGGCATTGGCTGGTGAAGCCCCAAGGCACTCTCAGAATATGTTAAGTAGGGAGGTGTTAGAACAGAGAAAACTGCCTTTCCTAGCTGTTCTCAGAGAGCAAAGGTGAGAAGTGGGAACTTGAGCAGTTTTGGTCCTCATCTGGAGAGTCTGGTTTTGTTGTTTGCAGAGGTGAGGGCCAGAGTGGAAATTCACTAGCACGATAGGGTTTGTGTTTGTACAGACCCCCCCCCCCCCCCCCTGCCAATATCCCCAACCCTTATTTTCAACCTTGCAGAAATAAGAGCCCCACCTAATATTCTTTCCATAAAACTCCATAAACAGAATCATATCTACTTCATGTAGGGCCTGGCCTGGCCTGGCCTGAAATTCAGTCGTCAGCTCAGCACCCAGATTGGAGTAAACTGTCTAGTCTGTAAATGTGAGATGAAAGCTATGTGTCAGTATGTAGACAGCTTCATTCAGTTCCTCTTGCAGCTTTACCTACTCTCGACTTTCTGAGGGAGGGACTCCACATTATTGTCATGAAGCGATGGCTTCAAGCCAGGGTTTTCTGCAAAGAATGAGTTTTTCAGGTATCCTGGATTTGTGTGAGTGTGAAGGTGGAGATAATGCTGCTGATTTTCCTAATCTCCTCCCTCTCCTGGTTAAGAACTGGCACACAAGTTTAGGATTGTAATTTTGTTTGTTTGTTTGTTTTGAGACAGTCTTTTTCTGTTACATAGTTCTGGCTGTATTGGAGCTGCTATATAGCCCAGGCTGACCTCAGACTCACAGAGATCCACCTGCCTCTACCTCTAGAGTGCTAGGATTAAAGGCATGAACCACCACACCTGGTTTACTACTGTAATTTTTATCTGAATCCCCGAGTAAAATATCCCTAAGAGGGTCAAGATCCACGTAGGTAGCCGGCTTTCTCTTTGTTAGGTACTAGCATGTGCAGAACAGTAAGTCTGCTGGTATTTGGCAAGAGAAACTCCTGGTTCTAGTATGCTGTGCTCTCATTTCAGGGAGAGGCCTGGTTTTGAAGGCAGGAGGATTGGACACGCTGGGGAAGTGAATGTGACCCATTTCTATAAAGGTAGGTCAGTTTTTCTGGCATTATCTTTTGGTGGCTTTTATTAATAATAATTAATGAAACTCTTGCTAAGGTTGGCTTAGTGGTTATTACTTTTTTCCTGAAATACTTTTTAACTCTTGCAGCAGAGATGGCAGCTTATTTCTAGGAATCACTCAAAGCCAGAGTCATGGTGGATGTAGGAAAGTGGCCAATCTTCACTCTGCTCTCACCCCAGGAAACTGCATCAATCAGGAAAGCGTGTGTCTTTGGTGCCTCTGCCAACGAGGCCATCTATGTTACTGACAATGATGAGGTAAGACTGGAGACTGGAGTTTTGTTTGGGGACCTGTTTGGGGGTTGCACTTGAAACCCTATAGTTTGAAAGCTGAGAATAGATTTGGGATAAAGAGAACCTGAAATTCAGGAAGAGTACCTCTGATGTGTTCTCCAGTTTCATATTCTAATGCCTTCTATTCTGTAGACTAATCCTGCAAAGCCTGAGTATTGTCAGGAGAGGTGAAGATTTCCTAGTATCTATAGTAGTCTCTTCTTGCTGCCCAGGCTATCAAACTAGACTTGAGTGTATCTTATTTTCTGAGTAGGGAAAGGAGCTTTCAATGTGATTTCATGTCAGGTGACTTAGGCAAGGGTATTTGTTTTCTAGGTCTTCGTGTTTGGACTGAACTATAGTAACTGTCTAGGAACTGGAGATAACCAGAGCACTCTGGTGCCCAAGAAACTAGAAGCCTTATGTGGAAAAAAGATCAAAAGCCTTAGTTATGGGAGTGGCCCCCATGTCCTCCTCAGCACTGAAGGTAAAGAGGGAAAACTGGCTTTGGGGTTTGTGGTTAATTGAGCAATTAATTTCTGAGCCAAGAAAAGGGAGTGCTGTATCAAGTAACTAACTTTGGACTGTTCTTTATTTCTGGAGAGTACAAAGAAGGCAAAATTTAAGACATGTGAGGCCACCTGGAATAGCTGCTGTGTGTCTTGTACAGAGATAGTCTCTGTTCTTAGACTTCCAGTGTAAATTGCACAATGTTGGAAAGGTCAAAGGATGTGGTTCCTCCAGTCTGACTGATACTTAGTGGATGTGTGGACACAAGGTAACTAACTGTGAGAGGGTTTATATACATCTGTTGAACTATATGTAGAGTGGGGGATATTCACATTAGCAGAGGCCAGGGCTGTTAGATCCTCATGGAACTGGAGTTACGGTGGAATCGGAGTTACAGATGTGAGCTGTCATGTGGGTGCCAGGAATTGAACCCAGGTCCTCTGGAAGAGCAATACATGCTGTTAACCACTGAGCCATCATTAAAGTTCTCTGTAGGGAGACACCCTAGCCCCGCCCTGGGACAGGTACCAGGTGGACTCGGGACTCGCCCATAAGGGCGTGGTGTAGGAAAGCCAAGGTGACATAAGGAAGGCCTCTTAAAGACGGCTCATGGAGACCCAAGCCCCTTTTGTTCTGGCCGCGCTTGCTGGGTTCTATAACCTAGCTCTGGCCTGTGTTTTGCCCTGGTGTTTTCTTGAATAAAGAGACTTTAATCATTACAGTTCTCTTTGGTATATTTTTATAAACTCACATAATCTGTGTTTCTCCTTGGTGTAGTTGCTGAATCTTGAGTCAGAATATCTTAGTTTATTCTGAACAACATCCATATGGATGCCATATTGAAAGGATAGGAGAAGTGGATAGATTCTTGTCCTTTGACTGTCCCTCACCAAGGTCACCAAAGAAGCATGGACAGTCTCCTTTGGTAATTGTGTGTACTGTGGAAAAGCAGTACTCTGAGAGTTTGTCACATGTAACTTCTTCCCTTGGAGTGTTAGGTCTTTTATCCCCATAGAGGCACTCCGTTTTGTTAGATGGTCCTGTAGGGCAGCTTGTGGGAGACAGAGTGCATCTCTACTTCATGTGTCTTTGCTAAGAAACCTCGACTTCCATGGATGCTGCCTCAGCCTCTGTGTCTACCTTGTGTGTGGCTTCCAGTGACTCTCATCTGAGTTCACTCTGTGTTCTCTGCATATATCTCAGGGCTATGAGAGCCAATCCTCGTACAGGAGTCAGTCTGATTGGGTTTGAGCATAGTGAGACAGCTCTGTCACAACTGCTCTGAGTCATCATTTGGTTGTCACCTCTCAGCCCTTTCAGCTGATGTTTTACCAGCTGGTTCATTCTTCCCCATCATAGCTTAAGGGTTTGAAGTTTTCCAAACACAGCATTCATAGCCAGTTCTTGATATCTGACCCTAAATACTAAAGAACATTTTTATTCAATATTGCAAATACACTAAAAGACTTACTTTCAAATTACTAGCCACAATAAAGGTCAACTTATGACCTTTGGAAGCTGTCATGATCCTTGGGAATTATGCTATAGTCTAAACAATGTTTTAAGTATGTTGAGTATTAAATTTAGTATACAAATAATTAGGGCTTGGTGAGAAATATTTTCTTTTAATGTTTAATTTTTATCTCTATAGTTCATTTTATGCAATATATATTAAACAATGTATACATCATATGCCATATGTATGATTGATTATTATGTATATTATAATCAATCAAATCATTTAAAAACTACGAGTGTGTAAATGTGTGTTCATGTTTGCGTACAGGTAGGTGTCGCGTGTGTGTGTGTGTGTGTGTGTGTGTGTGTGTGTGTGTGTGTGTGTGTAGTGCTGGGGATTGAACTACTGTTTAGAAGGAATTGATTCTCTCATTTATTATTATTGTTGTATTTGTGTATGAGTGTGAGCACGTGTGCCACAGCATGCATAGGATTTGAGAAGACAACTCTTGGAGTTCTTTTCTCTTGGGCTTGCGTCTTTGGGTAGCAAGTATCTTTGCCCACTGAGCCATCTTGCTGACCCATTATTCCACCTTATTGAGGCAATCTTTCTTGTTTCTGCTGTGCTGTTTACTCCAAGCTTGCTGGCTGGCTTCTAGGAGATCCTTTTGTCTCTGCCATCTATCCCTCCATAGTGCTGAGATTACAGATGTGGCTACCACATCCAGCTTTTTTATGTTAGTTTTCAGGACTATGTAGCTTGGGCTTTTACCCACTGAGCCATTTTTGCCAGCCTGTTTTCTTTCCTGTTTTTAAAATAAGGTATTTATGTTTCTACATCTGAGTTTCCAATCTTGGGTATTATATTTTAACTTTGTATTGTGGCAGATTGAATTTAGCTCTTTGTTCTCTGTCTTTCTTGCCTTTATTCTTTAAACACATGGATATTACCATTTTGGTTAAGTTAGTATTGGTGTTTTCATTATTGGAGACTGTGTCAGTATTATTTATAGTACAGCCTTTCACTTTTTGTATGACTGCCCCCCCCAGGTTGATAATTGCTTTGAGTGTTTCCCTTACTGACACCTATATACATCTATCATTAACTTGTGTCCAACTATTAGACAGAATAGCACTTATCAGATGATCTCTGGAGCCACCTGTCTCCCCTCCAGAACTTCCAATCTGGACTGGTTACACTCTCAGGCTGCCTGCCCAGCTGCCAGCCCAAAACTTCTCTTTACTGTCATCCTCAAAAGTCTCTCCACTTTTCCTTTCTAGTACCTATTTGTGTGTATTTCTTATGTCATCCTCCTTGGATTCTACCCTCATCTGGGAACCACATTTTCTAGAAACTTTCCAAGAAAGGGATCTGAGAGAAATCTTTAAGTCTCTTGGGTGTCATTATTTCACTCTCACTGATGTGACTCAGTGGTTTGGCTGTCATAAGGTGGGAGTCTGTTTTCTCATACTATTCAAGGCATGGTACTTTTTAAAATTTAGTGTTGACACTAATTCCTTTGTAACCTCCACTCTGTGTGTGTGCTTGAGTGCATACATGTGTGTGCACATGTGGAGGCTGGAGGTCAGTGTTACTCTGTCCCTTTCTACCTGTATCTTTGAGACAGGGTCTCTCACTGACCCTGAAGTTCATCCATTGACAGATTGGTTGTCCCATGAGCCCCTGTGGTCCTCCTGTTTCTGCCTCCCAGCTCTGAGATAACTGCGTGTTGTCAGGCCTGCTTTTTACCCATGTGCTGTGGCTTGAACTCAGGTCCTCATGCTTGTGCTGCAAGCACTTTACCCATAGAGCCATCTCCTCAGCCCCACTTTCACTTCTTGTGTGTGACTAGTTCCTCCTTTTTTGAACATGAGAGAGAGAGAGAGAGAGAGAGAGAGAGAGAGAGAACGCGAGAGAGAGGAGAGAACGCGAGAGAGATCTTTTTCTCTATTCCAAATATCTTGAAAGAGTCATGGTTGTTCTGGAATGAGTACTTTTTAAGCTTATTAGTAACCTGTAGGTCCTGCCTTCATTTCTAGAAAACAGTTTTATAACTTTTCATAGATAATTTCTCTTTTTTTCTGCTCTGTCCTTTTTAGAATTTTTCTTATATAGAAGAGATTCTGACATTAAGAGGTTCTTAATTTTCTTTCCTGTGTATGTTCTAGAAAATTAACTTACTAAAACCATGTGTAAATAAATTTTATTTATGCCCATGTTTGTGCATGGGGTGTGTGTGTGTGTGTGTGTGTGTGTGTGTGTGTGTGTGTGTGTGTGTGTGTGTGTATGTGTGCCCCAAGTCCTTACCCAGTTCTTGCAATATCACACAACCCAGTTCCAACTGGTGATGACAGGAGAGTCACAGCATATCCTTGCTGTGAGTCTCTTGTAACTGATGGCACATCTTGGAAATTTAGCGCTGGAGTTGGCTCCATGCTCACTTCCCTTTTTGCAGATGTAGACTGATGCCTTTTCTGGTTTGCTTTGTTAGTTACAATGTCTGTTGGTTTTCCATCTCTAAAGATTTTGTTTCATGTAGCCCAGGCTGTCCTCAGATACATTGTGTAGCCAAGAATGACCGTGAACTCAAGATCCTCTTATCCTACTGTAAGAGTCCAATCTAGAGAAACCTATTTTTATACATGAACTTTGACTTGACCATGAAACTGAGCTTGTATATAATTGCCAAGTCCTTTCTGAAAGGTTTGCCTCTGTCCTCTCTATTCTCCAATCCTTTGCTCCCTGAGTCCCTACTAGTGGTTATCTCATAAAGAGGAGGACACAGATACTAGAGCAATGGAAGTTGCAAGGGGTTACCAGTTCTGTTGGAGCTAGTGCTTCATGTGCTTGTGTGTTTAGATGGAGTTGTCTACGCCTGGGGCCATAATGGATACAGCCAGCTGGGGAATGGGACCACCAATCAAGGCATTGCTCCTGTCCAAGTCTGTACTAATCTCTTGATCAAGCAGGTGGTTGAGGTAGCTTGTGGTTCACATCATTCGATGGCTTTAGCAGCTGATGGAGAGGTAAGTTGCTCTTTGATTCCTTTTAAAGAATTGTCATAAACTGCATAATGGAAGCTTATTATCACAAGCATGTTGAACACACAGCTTGGTGGCATTAAGTACATTCACACTGTTTGGTCTGTCAACTCACAGACCTCTTTCATCTTAAAAAATTGAGGCTGCACATCTGTTAAATGTCAATTCTCCCTGACACTGTAACTGTGGTCACTCTAGGTACTGCCTGTACATAGAACCAGATGGTATCTGTCCTTTTATGACTGTTTAACTTAGCATAGTGTCGTCAAGTTCATTTATTTATCTGGTATGTGACAATTTGGTACGTTTATGTACACTGTATCTTGATCCTCTAGACTCTTCAGGATCCCTCCTGCTTGCTCCTCCTACCTTTACATCCTCTTTTGGGGAGGGGAGGTAACCCAGTGAGTTAGTGCTCCTGGACTAGACTGATCTTGTTGACTTAGTCCTGTGAAGGTAGCCGTAACTGCAGTGAGTTCATTAGTGCAACAGCTGTGTCCTATCCATAAGCCATTCCATAGTACTCTTCCATGTATATCCTTTTTAAGGCTGAATGATATTCTTTTGTATACATGTTCATTTTGTTCTCGTGTGTGTGTGTGTGTGTGTGTGTGTGTGTGTGTGTGTGTGTAAGGGATATTGGGAATTGAACCCATGGCCTCACATATGCTAGGCCTATTTCATTCAACTTGATGGGTATATGGGTCATTTCCACTATTGATCAGCTATTGTTAGACTTTGTTGCTAAAAGCAGTCAAACAATAAAACCCATTTGAATGCATTCTTTCTCCAGTAATACTTGTGTCATGTAGTCAGAATTACCCTTATCTGGGTTCTGTGTATACATGTCCATAGTCCCAGCACCAAGGACTTGAAAGCAGGATGGAGATTTCTAGGCTATCCTGTGCCATAGAGGAAGAACTTGTCACAACAAATTAAAAAATAAACTTAATAAAAAATTTTAAATAATTTATTCTTATTTGCATTAGTGTTTTCACTTGCATGTATGTCTGTGTGAGGGTATCCGATCTTGGTGTTACAGACAGTTGTGAGCTGCCATGTGGGTGCTGGAAATTGAACCTGGGTCCTCTGGAAAAGCAGTCAGTGTGCTCTTAACCACTGAGCCATCTCTCCAGCCCCTAAATAAAAGCTTTTAATTGCATTTATTTGGGGGCTGTGCCGTGGTGTGCATGTAGAGGTCAAAGGGCAACTTGTGGGAGTCCATTCTCTCCTTTTACAATGTTTGTCTGGGGATAGAACTCAGGTGTCTCTCTCTACCTGCTGAGCTACCTTGTTGGCTTCAAAAAACCCTTTTTGCTGCCTTCAGCAGCTCTGGAATTGAGGGGGAGCCATGGAGTTAGCAAACTAATCACTCAATTTGACTCTTCTCTCTGAGGAAGTAGAGCTTAATTCTCTGGGGCTAATGAGCAGGGCAAAACTTAACTGTCTGGGGCCTACAAAAAAGGGAAAAGCACACACACATACTACAAGAGATGGGGTGATATCTCCAGGCTCCACTCCTTACTGAGAGCTATTGGCAGTTGATAGCTGCTTCGAGAGGGCGGGAAATCATTGTTTGTTTGTTTGTTTGTTTGTTTGTTTAAGGGTGTGGCCATTGGCAGAACATTGGGGTTTTTGTTTTGTTTTTCATATATTTGTTTCTGGTTTTTTGACTAGCTTAGAAACCCATTTGTATGTCTCTAACAAAAATCTAATGTTCTGGTTATGGTAGATAATAGCAAAAGCAAGCTGTGCAAAGTTGACAGGTAGCAAGTGAGAACTCAAGTACCTAGAAGAACAATCTAATAATCAGTGGTATTTATGTAGGAACAGACATATCCTTAGCACATATGACTGTTACTGTGTGATGGTGAGAATTTACAGTGTAAAGTTATAAGCTAGATAGTTTTTGTAAATATACTGTGTCAGAAACATAGACCAGCATGTTTGTGTCTACATAAAGTCAGAGTTTATTGAGTAACAGTAAATTGATAAGGTGCAGCACTTTGGTTAATTTGTCAAGTAGCCCTGCTTTCCTTGGTAGCCCTGGCTGAAGGCCATCGAAAATTATATATTCCAGTCTTTTAAAATTCCAATTTTAATTACTTAATTACATTAACTCTCAGAGCACATATTATATTTCATGCTCTCTCTGTCTCTGTCTCTCTCTGTCTCTCTCTCTGTCTCTCTCTCGCTCGCTCTCTCGCTTTCTGTGTGTGTGTGTGTGTGTGTGTGTGTGTGTGTGTGTGTGTGTGTAAAACATAAATATTATAGAAGGGTTAAAGAGGCCACAGCAGAGATAAAGGCATTTCAAAGAGAGTCTCTGTGGGAGTAAGATGAACTAAGGCTGGATCTCCCTGGGAGAGGTGGTTGCTGCTGCTAGATCAAGGTGTGGGGTTGGAACTGAGCTTCAGAATCGAGGTGAAGTAGAGGCTCTAGAGGCAAGGGGTAGTACTGGGTTCAGATGGATGAAAGGGCGGGTGGATGGTCAGTAGGTCTAGACAAGTGCATAGCAATTTGAATTGGCTTTGTCAACAGGGTGTCCATGTTGAGCTGAAGCTCCTAGGACAGCTGGGAGTTCTCTGCTTCCTGTACACAGTAGTCAGATGACAAACCTGTGAGGTCATTCCTAATGCATAGTCAGAGGTGTTCTTTATGGGATTCAAGTAAGAGTGTTACACCTTTTTCTTAGTCTGATGTGTCTGATAAGTTCTTGTGCTTAGTTTTTCTGATATAATTTTAATGTGCTGGTGGCTTCCTCAGTCCCAATTTACATTGATAAGATTATACCATCACACTCTTATTTATCATTCTGTGTCTTGTGGGTGGCGCCAGACAGATGGTGCTATTTAGGTGTCCACTAAGTGCAGAGTCATCATCTTTAGTAGAGTAAAAAACTGCTTATAAAATGGACTGTCTCAGGGCAAGGCACAGTTTGAAAATCATTGTACACAGTGTGAAGTTACTTAGAGCAGGGCACAGCCTGACTGCAACAATAGTCCTGAGACAGCAATTGTGAATTAGTGAGACAGGGAAAAGAACAATATAATTTGGAAAGTTTTCCATGAGAAACAATAAAAATTTGTGTCCAAAGAGTTGAGTGTGCTTTTTGCATCATTGATGCTTTGCCTCATTAATTCCAAAATTAACAAAATGTATCAATCTATGTAGTTGTCAAACTTAGAGGGCCACTGTAGTACAGTTGTCAAAAGCATAGTACAGTACTTGGGCTCTAAGGTCCATTGCCCAGTGGATGGGAATACTTACCCCAGGGCCACTGTATGGGATTACTATGAAGATAGTGGGTAAGTGCACATAAAGCATTCAAAACTATGTCAACTGTCTAATGACTGGTTTCCCTTGTTCCTTCTTTTGTAGGTATTTGCCTGGGGCTATAACAATTGTGGTCAGGTGGGATCAGGATCTACAGCAAATCAGCCAACTCCTCGGAAAGTTACAAGTTGTTTACATACTAAGAGAGTGGTCAGCATTGCCTGTGGTCAGACCTCATCCATGGCTGTTCTGGACAGTGGTGAGGTTTGTACTCTTCATTTCCCTGTCCCCTCCACCTACATTCAAAGGTGCCAGCATGGAGAGGAGGAGTTTTTCTTGGTTAACTGACCCCTAAGGATGACCTGCTAGTGCTCACTCAATCCTGAGAATGATTTCAAATCAAAGATGTCAAGTAAAAATTCTAGTGTGTCTTTAGTTTTTGCAAGATCCCTGTAGCCTCTTGGTAAAAGCAGAGGGTGGGAAATGTTAGATCCGTGTAGTCTATTCCATACAGGTACTTGGATTTAATGCTGTGGACTGAGAAAGAACTACCTTTCTTCCAGTGGAAGAGTCACCTCTACATTTCTAAAAGTCAGCTAATGAATTCTTCATCAAACTACACACAACATCTCACATGTTTTATTGGAGGATCATCATTAGCTACTTTTATAAACCTACCCTGTGCCCTGTACCATGGTTCCTTTTGAGCTGATGGTTACTTCTATGAAATGACTGATGCCATTTAAATGGGCCATATACCACCTACGCTTTCCTTGGTGCATGGGGATTATACAGTCTTTGGGTGTGGCATCATGCAGTGGGCTTGGGTTGCTGTACCTGTTTCTTAGTACTCGCCTAAGTTGCCTTTTTCTTTTTTCACTCAATCCTGCTATCATCCCTGAATAATACTTCAGAATTCTGTGGGTAATCATCCAATAATCTCAGTATTTCCATGCTTTTATTTTTTTAAGATTTATTTTTATCATTTTTGAATTATGTGTTTATGTGTGTCTGTGTGTGCATACGAGTGCAGTGTGCCCATGGAGTTCAAGAGGTCTTCCACAGATTGAATTGCAGGCTGTTGGGAGCCCTCTGCTGGGAACTGAGCTAGATTGTCTTCGAAAGCAGTCCCTCTCTTAACTGCTGAACCACTAAGTTTAACTTTAAAATGATTATTATGTGGTTACTTTTACAAAGGGGAAGACAATGAAGCATACAGAGTAAACATTAAATACCTTTTTCCAAATCCTTAGTAGTTCATGTGTGTAACTGTAAATAAGCAGTTATTTACAGATGAGTTTAATTACCTTATTTAACAAATGTGACTGACAGTTGCACACTGCTGCCTCTTTCTGATATTCTCTGGCTGTTCCCTGACACAGCATGTGCTTTGTTGGTGTGCTGTCTCAGACCATGTCTTCTCAGACCAGCACTTCACAGAATGCTGCTTAGTTTGCTTCTGTGGGTGATGGACACCTGGACTCTACTGAACGGCTTTCCAGTTGTTTGTAATTTTTTTGTGGTTGTGAATAATGATGCACTGATTTGCTGTCACTGTATATATATCTTGGTACATCTTGTAGGTATTTCTATAGAAAAAAATTCCCAGCATAGAATTTTTAGGTCAAGAAGTATGCCAAATTTCTTTCCACAGGCCAATACCTGTGACATTTCTGGCTTTGATGAGATTGCCTGTAGCCACATCTCACTCTCTGCCCCTGTCTACTTTACTTTGTCCTGAAAGCCCCACTGTGCATTTGCCTGTATCCATGTGGAACTTGGTGCCACCAGAAGTTGTAGGCATCTAGTTTGAACTTGACCTTTTAAAGTCTGTTCTTGGTTAGAATTTATTACTATGGCCCACACTGGATATTCCAAACCATTAATCCCCCTGCCTAGCCTATGCCAGCTGCTAATACTTTCAGCAAATGATTCATGCCACAGAAAACACCTGAGAGACCACCCAGTTCTGTGATTCCCGTTTTCAGCCCCTTTCTTACCCATTCTGTCTCTTGGTCTTCTGTCATGTCTTAGCTCAGAGCCTTATGAGAACTTACTTGATCATTGATGGGACATGAAATTACCTACTAGTTTTTTTCTGTCACTCATTCACCCTTGTCTCTGTGATCTTTTAAAACTGAAAATTTAATCTCTATTTTTGAATATTGTAGTAAAAGTTCTTTGATGTATTCCACTTTCTTTTCTTTTTTTTTTTTTTTTTTGTCTTGTTTTGTTCATTTGCCCCTTTGTTTTGTTTTGTTTTTTGTCTTACTGTGTAGCCCTGGCTGGTCTGGTACTTGATATGTAGCCTAGGCTTGCCTTGATTTTGTGGCAATGTCCTGTCTCACCATTCTTAGAGCTGGGATTACAGGCATGTACATAATGCCTAGCTTTGTTTTTGTTACTTGTTTTGTTTTTCATTTTTTAATTAGTTTATTATCAGGCTCTTCTTTTCTTCTACCACTATTCTTCCTACTCTTCTTCTGTCTCTTCCCTGACAGTCTGTGTGCCTTCTGCCTGGAGTGCCATCATCTACTGCTCAGGTCTCCACTTTCTAAAAGCCTTCCCTAACATTGCTTCTTAGGAAGAGATCTTCTCACTGTTCCTGCAGGACCTGGATGATCTCTGTTGTGGCTCATATTACCTGCTCACCAAGTATGCACATGTTCATTGCCTTTGTTAAACTTGGGCTCCTTCCTCGTGCCTTTTACTGTGTAGGACATGTGGTAGGTGCTTGCTAATCATTAATGACCCCCAACGTTCTCATTTGTGAAGTCATGGAATGAGAATAAAGTCAGTCATCTTCACCCTCAGAACCTCCGAATTATATCTGTAGGATCACATAGTGTACAGTACAGGTTTGGGAGTATCTGATTTATATAGGACAGGACTTATTTCCCATTGGCAGGTTCAACAGCTTGTCCTCTCTTCTCTCTCTCAGGTGTATGGCTGGGGCTATAATGGCAATGGACAGCTGGGCTTGGGAAACAATGGTAACCAGTTGACCCCAGTGAGAGTGGCAGCTCTGCAAAGCGTGTGTGTCAACCAGGTATACATTGCATTTCTTGCCATGCATTTCATGGCAGATGTATTGGACATTAATTCTTTTGTCATTCATTTCTGGCAATTCTTTCTGCCTTCACTTTTCATGTTTAATGTTCTAGCCTTCCTATTTTTCTGTTAGAAAAGGGAAGCCCATGGTATTGGATATGGTCTTCTCCACAGGGTAAAGAAATTCATGAAGAAGTCCAGTGGCTAAAGAATTAGACTTCCCTGATGCTTCTGAGTATTCCAGCAGATGCCAGTCCACACATGCGGATGACCTGGCATTCTGCAGAGGCCAGCCATGGCCTAAGCAATGGTTGCTCTGTCCTGTCTGTATTCTAGGATGGTGACCATCTGTGTTTACTTTCAGATTGTCTGTGGGTATGCACATACTCTAGCACTAACAGACGAGGGCTTGCTCTATGCCTGGGGAGCTAACACATATGGGCAGCTGGGAACTGGCAGTAAAAACAATCTACTAAGCCCAACACCCATCATGGTGGAAAAAGAAAGGTAAGTTTGCCATGCCATGTCTTGAAGACTACATGTGTGACCATGGGACTGTGGTAGGGCTGTGGAATTTAGCTCGTGACTCTATTAACATTCTCATTTTGACCAAAATGTTTTATAAGTCAGAATGAACATGTGTAAACTTGCCCTGTCTTCTGAGGCACCCACCTCTGATTGGAAGGAACTAAGGCATCTTAGTTCTGAAAGACTTGGAGCTGTCTGTCTTGTAGGGAGGTTCTTTAGGGTCTGCAATCACACTGAAATTCAGTGTAGCACCAGCTTTGTACCAGCTAAATTCACTTTTAAATAATAAACATTGCTCTTTAAAGGACATTATCTATTTAAATATTGATTTGGTTTATTGTCTTCTACTGGAATAGGTACTTAATGTTTGTTCATCAAATTGTGAGATTTTATGCAGTTTGTTTGGGACCCTGCCTTAGGAGCACTATGAAAAATAAAGCAGTCTGGCTTGATGCCCTTTTAATTTGGAATGTTTAGAGCCCATGAGCCTCAGCCCAGTGGCATTTATCCTAATGAAGATGCTGGAGATGAGGGGGAAAAATGTATCTATAAAGAAACATTTATTGAAGATAAAATTTACAAGGGGGGATGGTGGAGAGGAGAGGGATTGTTAAATCAGGAAAGAGCTTGTAAGTTCCTGAGTTTGATCACCAGAGCCCATATTTAAAAAGCCAGATGTGCTGGTGTGTACTTTTAATTGCTGGCCAGCCTAGCCTGTTTGGTGAGTGCCAGGCCAATTAAAAGCCCTATCTAATAAAAAGCTTTGTGGTATCTGGGGAATTACACCTGAGGTTGTCTTCTGGCTTTGACACAGATGTGCACACTATTGTCACTACCAACCCCCATGAACACACACACACACAGACACACAGAAAAAAAAATAGGGTTAAAAAAATTTTAATGTATATGTATGAATTTTTTTGCCTGCATGTATGTATGTGTGCCATGTGTGTGCCTGGTGTCTGTGGAGTCAGAAGCGTATGTTGGATCCTCTGGAACTGGAGTTGGAGATAGTTGTGAACCACTATGTGGGTGCTGGGACACAAATCAGGTGCATTACAAGAACAAGAATTATTCATGACCTCTGAGCCATCTCTCCAGCCCCAATATTTTTTGTTTATGTACTGTTTATATTTCCATAACAGTGAAGACATTTTGTCATTGTCCATTGTCCTCATTGACTTTAACTTCAGTCTCTTTCCAAGTTTGCCTCAACAGTATGTATTATTTATATATTCCTACCACAAAATGAACTTAGGTGAGAAGTGGGCCCTCAGAGAGAGGAGGTGGGGAGGTTAGGGGAGCTCTTTCCTGACCTTTAGTTTTGTAGGCAGGGTTTGTTGCTTACATCACTGACCTTGGGCTCACTTGTGAGGTGTTCAAGGGTGAATTTCTAAATTACTCTATAGAGTGCTAGAGGCACACGTGATAAAGAAATAAAATGAGTTTTCCTTCAATGTTTCAGAGTTGTAGAGATTGCAGCCTGTCACTCCACCCACACATCTGCCGCTAAGACCCAGGGCGGGCACGTTTACATGTGGGGCCAGTGCCGGGGCCAGTCGGTGGTCCTTCCCCACCTCACCCACTTCTCCTGCACAGATGATGTGTTTGCCTGCTTTGCCACCCCTGCAGTCTCGTGGCGCCTCCTGTCTGTGGGTAAGCCACTCCAGCCTCCTCACAGGGTAACCAAATCATCTTCCCTGCGTATTTGGTTGCTGTGGTCCTAGGATGTTTTCTGTATGCTAGTGTTAGTGCTTTTCCTGAATAATAATCAGATCTATTCATAGGTCATGAAACATTCTCGTGGACTCCTTTTTTCTTCCCTAAATACTTTATTTTAGTTGAATTCACATTTAATAACAAAACCAATACAATCAAGTGCAATTTAGTCCATTCTTAATGTTTTGCACCTACTGTTTATATTAAGCTCCAGATGTTTTTATTGCTTTAAAAGGCAAACACAATTCACTAAGCAGCCACACCTCATCCACGTTCCCTTTTCTTGAGGGAAAGAGAATGTTCAGGAAGAATTAAACTGCTAATGAACTTCAGGAGAAACAAAGAACATTTTTTAAAAATGTATTTTACCAGCTCAGTTAGTGTAATACAATGCATATAAATACATGCAATAAATACAACAATGATTAAAAAACATTTGGTTCAGTGAGTGGGACCTTTGGGTTGAAATCACATTTGTGTTTAGCATATTCAGCCAAATAGACCAATACAGCACAGCCTGAGATTTCCATGTACTGCTCCAGCTGGCCTAATTGTGAAGGGTTTCTCTAGGTTCTAGTTTCTTAAAATGCAGATATCTTAATCAGAACAGTTTTTAGTACTGTTTGGAGAGGGTAAGAACTAGCCACTGACCTAATCTTATAAATTGTTTCTTTCCTTTCAGCCACTAAAGTCAGAGGATTTTCTCCCCTAGCTGTGAGTTCAGTTGTTAGAGAGAAAAGTAGTTCTCTAAAAAAAGAGGGAAGGTTATTTTCCATCCTGTGATGAGATGCTGAGACACCCATAAAAGCCTTTGTTTTGGGGTTGATGGTTAGCCATCACCCATATCCTGGACACTGCCCACCTTAGTTATCTCCTTTCTTTTCTCTGGAACACTCTAGGCTATGGGTCAAGAGAGGCTGGTCTTTAAGTAAGTCCCTACTTTTTCCAAAGCTGCCATACTCCTGGATCAGTCGTTGTTCTCAGCCCAGGGCAGTGGAGACCTGTCTGCTTTGGCCCATCCTCGGGGTGGGTCTTTCTCAGGGTGATTTGTTGTTCTGTTCCCCTGTACTTATGAAGTATAGGATGATTGGATCCTTGACTGTGTTCACAGTAACACCATGCTCCTTAGGTAGACTCATCACAGCAGCTCATGTCACAGACATCCTTGATCTTCCTGCAGAATGCTTGAGTCTTTACAAGGAAGGTTGACTGCTTCTCGTTAGTGTGTCATAAGGAAGGACTACTGTTAGAACATTAACATTCAGGGTGAAGAGCAACGTTTAGATATCAGATGGCTGTTAGAACTGTTTGCATGCTAAGGTGTTTTGGGTTCTTCACCTTGATTTGAATATGCATCCTCTGAACTTCCAAAATGAGAACAAGATGTTACCAGTGCTTCAGTCAAGGGAAATGGGTAAGCAGTTAGTCCTGAAGAAAAACCACTCAAGCTATGAGAAGTCGGCTGGGTCCCCATAGACTACCTTGAGGTTTGTTTGTCTTTATTTATATTTTTGTTTTTTTAAGACTGAGTTTCTCTGTGTAGCCCTGGCCATCATGGAACTTGCTTTATAGACTATGCTGGTCTCTACTCACAGAGATCCACCTGCCTAGTGCCTCCCCAGCACTGGGATTAAAGGTGTGCACCACCACTGCCCAGCGTGAGATTTATTTTTATTGTGTATTTTCATGTTTAATTATACATGAAGACTGTTATTTGAACTTTCACAGATACTCATTTTGTTTTGTTTGTAGTTTATAGATCAGTTACTTTAATACTTCTAGTTTGATTTGTTAAATGAGTGATGAGCTTTATTGGAATTATGTACTGTAATTATCTTTTGAAAGCCTCTCATGCCTGATTCTGTGTCCTGAGCTTTGTATTTAACAGTGTGTTCTGTTGCCTTCAGAGCATGAAGACTTTTTAACAGTTGCAGATTCACTGAAGAAAGAATTTGATAGTCCAGAAACTGCTGATCTGAGGTTTCGAATTGATGGGAAATATATTCATGTCCATAAAGCTGTTTTGAAAATCAGGTATTTTTGCATGAGTTTAGAGCCATCAGTAACTTTACTTTCTTTTTGCTACTTCCATTTGTTTATTACACCACAGACTAGACACTAAGAAGACATTGCTATGACAGTACAAAGAAGTATGAAAACTTAGTATTTTTGGCAGATAGTTATTAGTTCTACTTGTTATCAAAGAGTACCTTTTGCTTGTGTTCATGCAACATATGGGGAGTATAAGTATTTATTTTTTTTCTGTTGTTTAGTTTTCTGTAGTACTGGAAATTATAGCCAGTACTTGTGCATACTAGACAAGTACCCCTAGTTCTTACATTATTTTTCAAATTACAAACTGGGCTGGAATGTAGCTCAGTAGTAGAGCACTTGTCTAGCATGAGAGTGCCCTGGATTTGATTCCCTAACAGTAAGAACAAATGAACTAATAAATTAATTTCAGCTCTAGTAGATACTTATTTGTGAGTAAATATCAGTATATATCCTCTTCTTCTGCTAAAGATTAAGTTTTCCCAAACAGAAAACTTTTATAATAAGGAATGTAAATTGCCAACTAAAGAAAAGTTGTTTAGCTAGAATAAATGACAGAAATTCCTGAATAAATGTGAGGGGACTGAGCATTAATTAGTAATGACCAAATGATTGTTTGCTTAGATGCCTCTACAAAGTACACACATGAATGCAAACCATTGAACTGGCCATTTATGTCTTCAGGAAATTCAGTTAAAAACCCATTTGTGGGTAGGGGTGCAGCTCAGTTAGCAGAATGCTTGCTTGCTGCCATGTGAGAAGCCCTGGGCTAGATCCCTTGCACTGCAGAAAACTGTTGTTCCCCAGTATTTGCACGTGGAAGCAGCAGAACAGTGAATTTTAAGAGAACTGCATAGCCATATGTTATCTTGGTTAAAGTAACTGATCTATAAACTACATATTCATTATCTTGAGCAATAGCTATATGGACACAGTAGTGCATGAAAAGGTGATTACACATGTTTTTGCTGATGACTCTGTGGGGTGTTCGAGTGTGAGTATGCGTGTGCATGTGTGCGTGTCTGTCTGTGCTTGCCTTTCCCATACAGATTTTCTAACCTATGATATCCATTCTGTCTGTATTGCTTAGAAATATTTTTACCCCCTCACAGTGACTATCACTGAACCCATTTTAAAAAGTACTCTAAGTAAACGTTGTGTATTTCTGTATTGTATGTCACTCTACCACTATGCTACATCCCCAGCCCTCATTGTGTTGTTCAAATTGCATTTCTGTATACCAAAAACAAATGATCCAAAAAACACTTGATTAGAATGGGGACTGATGGAGACAGTTCTGTTGAAGGACTGGTTACTTCTGGGCCCTCTAGCCAATTGATACTGTTAAATGGTGGTATCAAGATGAGAGTGATTTTGGCAACATTGCACATAAGAGTCCTTGCCTAGCGAATACTTTGGGTGCTAATAGTGAATGATCCCAGCTTGTGCCAGCACAGAAGGTAAAGGGAACCTGTGATATCTGTTATTTGCTTTCAGCCCTTTTGTTGGTACGATTTGCTTTTGTTGTAGGTGTGAGCACTTCCGATCCATGTTCCAGTCCTACTGGAATGAGGACATGAAGGAGGTGATAGAGATAGACCAGTTTTCTTACCCCGTGTACCGTGCCTTTCTCCAGTACCTCTACACAGACACAGTGGATCTGCCACCCGAGGATGCCATAGGTACTGCACGGGGACTGGTCAGGCCATATGCCCATGATTTTGTCCTATTCTTAGAGCAGTGGTATATAGTAATTTAGAGGTGTGTTGACTTTTGTACACTTAAAAATAAAAGTAAACATCTCTAAACTGCTACTATTGTTTAAAACTATGGACATACTTTGTAACTGTAAACTTACTTAAAATTTATAAATGGAAGTATAGGTTTCTAATGCATTTAAACTTTTAAAAACAATAAGGAAGAGAATCACCTTTTTTTTTTTTTACTTTTGTACTATGGAAGAAATTGTATAAAGTAATTATAGGACAGGTACATTTTGGAGGTATGAGAAATGGAGTAAAAAATAATTACTCAGATTCAGAATAGTGCTTGCTCAGAAACTACTCACATGAAATGCAAGTGCCATGTTATCTATCGTGGGTGCTGTGAGCTGGTGTGACCTTAGTGCTTCTGTGTTTTAGGTCTCTTGGACTTGGCGACATCGTACTGTGAAAACAGACTGAAGAGGCTTTGTCAGCACATCATCAAGCGAGGAATTACTGTGGAAAACGCTTTCTCATTATTCTCTGCTGCAGTCAGATATGATGCAGAGGTAACATAGAAGTGCCCCAGCTACCTCCCTGCTACCCACTTCCCTCTCTGCTGTGACACAAGGAGCATGGCTAGCTTCACCTCTCGTTAGTGACTTGTGACAAGGCCTCAGATGGTATCGGCCTTGCTTCTTTCTTCTGTTCAGTGTTTCAGGATCAGTTGTATTTCTGCTTCTGCTCTTAACTAATTGGTTGAAGGCTGCAGCTGGACTCACTGGACTGGCAGGCAGCACACTTTAGTTCCATCTTCTGATATCAGTGCATCTGTGTTTCTCAAAACCCACTTTGCTGGTCCACGCTGTCAGAAGCCCAGGATGCTGTTTGCTTTACATCTGTGTGGGTCTGCAGTTCTGTCGCTTGTCCTGTAGCTCAGTTAGTCTTGTGTAAAGAACTTACTGTGTACTCCCTCTTTTTTTTTCTTTTAAGTTTTTAGTGTAAGTCTGTGTGTGTATGTGTCTTTGTCTATGTGTGTACACATGTGCATGTCTGAAGACTAGAGGACGACTTTCAGGAGTCAGTTCCCTTCTTCCATCTTTGCATGGGCTCTAAGGATCAGAGTCAGTAGTTAGCCTTATGCAGAGAGTGTCTTTACCCAATGAGCCATCTCAGCAGTCCCCATTCTGTTTATACTTAGTTGAATGTCAAATATGGGTGTCTCAGATTTCTAGAATCTGATGATTGGTGTTCTGTAGGATGTAAGTCATTAACTTTCCTGAGTTGAGCAGAGCCACAAACTATAGATGTCTCATGAGCAGAAGCTGCACCTGATTCACCATGTGTGCAGGACCTGGCACAAGCAGTGGTGCATGGCAGATGCTCTTGAATTGTAAGACAGTGCCACAGAAGGGTGCAGTAGACATTGTTAATGAATTCATAGCTGACCCACTGAGTTGTACAAATTTATAAAAAATAACAGCTTCGAAATGGCTGGCTTTGCTAAGTACAAAGCCTGTCTTTTAGAGGTGTTGTCATTTGACAAGGCAGAGTCTCTGGTAGCTGGAAATTTATTAAAGATACACATTGTGACTTTTGAGGTGTAACAGGATAAATTTCCTATCTGTCACACTTAGGGACTGAGTTGACCATTATGCCTTTTTATTTTCAAGACATACCCTATTTTTGCTTGAGGTTCTTTTATGATAATAAATATTTCACAAGGTCAATTGTAACTGACTTTGGAGCCTGACAACAAATGGAAAGATGGCCAGAGTCGATTGTATCCATTGGAAAATGGAGATGTGGTTTGTTTTCTTCCCCTTCCTGTCACACCTGAGCCTGTCTGTAGCATGAGTTCTCATAGGTCTTAATAATAATAGCCCAAAGTCAGATATAGGGGAAAATGCTGAAAGACCAGAGGGAGCAAGCCACAGCCACACCTGACCTCACTAACTTCCCAACCAAAAAGAGCCTAAGCTCCTGTCTCCTCCCACTTTATCACTTCCTGTCTGTAAGACTTCCAGAACTCTATGGTTAACTATTGACTAATTCTGCCCTCTGATCTTCAGGCAAGCTTTATTTTTTAAGAGTATAAACAAGATATCACTACACCTGTCTGTTACAAATGCTGTCTCTTTAGACTTCATTTCCACATAAGAATATAATTTTAAATTGGGCTGATGCTGTTTCTCTCCATTGGGGTTTGACTCTAGACTCTTCTTGTGCTTCTCCACACTTCTGTGTTCTGTAGTCAGGCCTGTTGATTTTAACAGCCAAGACAACCTGACAAGAGGCTAGCAGCTTAGATCCTCTTACTGGAAATTCATTCCCCATTTTCACCTAAAATCTACCTTTAAAAGTTTATAGGAAAAAAAAAAGTTTATAGGAAAGGGTCAGGCACACACCTTTAATCCCAGAATTTAAGAAGCAGAGGCAGGAGGATCTCTGGGAGTTTGAGACAGCCTGCTCTGCATAGTGAGTTGCAGTCCAGCCAGGGTTACACAGTAAGTGGCTAAGAAAAAAAACAAAAAAACAGCCTTACAGGAAGAACTCAATGCCACTTTGAGTCGCAGCAGCCCATGTCCTTTGTCTTTTTCACTTACATATAAATACACCTTTAATCTCAGCACTTGGAGGCAGAAGCAAGTGGATATCTGAGTTTTAATGCCAACCTGGTTGACAGAGTGAGTTCCACAACAGATTACAAAGCTACACAGAGAAACCTTGTCTCAACACTCCCCCCCCCAAAAAAAAGAGAGAGAGGCCAAGAAAAAAAAAGAATTGTTTCTTAGCCAGACATGGTGGCACACGCCATTAATCCCAGCACCCGAGAGGCAGAGGTAGGCAGATCTTTGTGAGTTCGAGGCCAGCCTGGTCTACAGAGCAAGTTCCAGGACAGCCAGGGCTACACAGAGAAACCCTGTTTTAAAAAAAAAGAGAGAACTGTTCCTTTAGGGGGACTACAAATGAATGTGATTACATGGAGCTTATCACCATGTGGGCAGAGCCAGCTCTCAAAAACGAATGCTGAATTGAATAATTAAACATGTTTGAAACACCAAAAATATATATCAAATTGAATGAATAAATATGTTCAAAACACTTCACTACAAAAGGGCACTTTTGTATTCAAGATAACAAGCAAACATTAAGTTCCACAAACATGACACATTCAATGTGGAAATTGAGTGAAATGATTATGATACACTTCTTAGATTTTGATACTGAGCTATATGATCAATGAGTATACTTATACATTTTATTTCCTTAGTACCTTTGAATGTACTAAGTGACCATAGTTTTCAAATCAAACCCATTACATACCTCAGTTGATAGGAAGTGACTGATATTGGTAACCAACTGTAAAAACCAATTTTAGAAGCCTAGCTTTGGGGTAGCAGATGCCATTGGGTTGGGTTATGGCTAGTGTTCATTTATCTGCTTTGTAACAGTGACCAACTCCTCCATGCACCCTTTGAAGGAAACTTTTCAAATTAATGTGCAAAAGAAGTGCAGGCACAGTAGTACCTACAAAAGCAAGGTCGTGGTGAAGGTGTTAGGAATGCATACTGTCAGACTTGACCTGTTTTACAGTGGACTGGGAGGAGCCACAGAGGGGTGAGAAGCCGAAGTGCTGCCTCAGATAGCAGCTGTTAAGTGCTGCTGGAGTACATGGGTTTTAACCCCGGGGAAACATGTGCTGAGTGACTGTGAAGAAGGGGCAGTGTTTGACTTACCCTGTGGAAGTCTTGGGCTGCAAGAATGCCACTAATTGCTGTTTTAGTGCTTTAAACTAACATGTTAGGGCCCCAGCCTAGTGCTTAAGAAAAATGGTAGAAAGGAAAAGCAACTTGGTTTTCAGATTCTGTAATTATTGGAATAATTTCAACATAAAAGATTTGGACCATGAGCCTGGGAAATGGCTCAATGGAAAGGTGCCTGCCACCAGCCCCAGCAGGGATCCAACTTGGTTGGAAGCCACACACATAGAAGGAGAGAACCAACTCCTGAAGTTGTCCTCTTGAGTTCTGTGCCTGTGCCTCCTCCAAGTTGTTTTTTTTTTAATTTTGGAATATTTTTTCAGAATAGTCATTCAAAAATTTGTTGCTTCCTACTAACTACAGTGAATCTGACATTGAATCTGCCCTAGAGTCACTTTGTAATTTCTCCACAGATTTATAAACTTAGTTTCTAGTACCTCTCAATTTTACATCCTCTCCTCCCTGTCCATGAAGATTAACATTCCTTGGTTTTATTATGTGTGAATTTTTTCTTCTGCCAATGAAATGCCCCTTCATCTACTTTGATTTTATTCTGGAAGTCTTTTTTAATCTACTGGTAAGATAGTCCCTTTTTGGAATTTTTTATATTTGAAGTTTAGCAGTTTTCAATGACTGGTTTCTAGCAGTGCAAAGGTTTTGGTTTTGTATCTTATTTGCATTTATGCTCGGTTCATTCAAGAGCCAGCCATTTGCAAATGAACATGTCCTGTGCATTCTTAGAAGGTGAGGGTGGCCTCATCGAATCAGAGGCAAACTAACTTAATGCATCCAGGGTTGATGAGGTGGCTCAGTGGGTTAGGGTGCCAAGCCTGACAACCTTAGTTTGGTCCCCAGGACTCACATGGTAGAAAAGGGGAACCAACTCCTGCAAATTGTTCTCTACCTTCCACTTGCTTACCATGACTTGCCCGTGCTACCTTCCACCCCAAATAAAGAAATTCCAATATAAAAAAGAAACATGGATCCAGCCAGGTACAGTAGTACCTACCCTGTACGCCCCTAACTTGAGGATGAGGCAGGAAAATTCTGAGGTTTTATTAAGGTCAGCCGGGGCCACATAGTGAGAACTTGTCTTTAAAATTATTTATAGACCACACAAAAACAGACATACAAACAAAAACATAGATCCAGAGATGTGCTAACATTGTAAATGTCCTTTGAGTTGTATGGGAAAGAAAACTTGGGCAGCAGCTGGCTGAGACAAATTAGCTGTGGTTTCTTTCTTGGTGGTCATTCATCTGGGTAAGTTTTCTTGGAGTGGGATGTTTTTCAGTCTGGGACGGAGAATCCTATAGTAAAGAAATAGAGATGTTCATAGGAGTCTGCCTGAATGCAGAAAGGAGCACTCTGTTTCCCTGCTCTGCTTGGTGGGGTCTTCCCTGAACTGTCTAGAAATCTCACCTCAGGGCAGCTAAACATAGGAAGTCAAGACCGTTTGATTTAAATGGAGGATTCCTCACAACTTCTCAGCTGTCCAATACCAAAAAAATAAAATAAAATAAAATAAAAAATAAAAAATAAAATCTAGCCACTTTGATTTAAAAAAAACAAAAAGTTGTTTGCTTTAATACATTAGAGTACTCTTTATACACTTGTCTGGGGTTGACTGGAGGCTTTTAATAACATGCTGGAAGACCTAATATATTATTGGGGACTTTAAAATGAATTTGTTATTATTAGACCATGAAAGTAAAGTTTTGGAGATATTCTTTTTAAATAGAATTTTGCTTTCTTAAATGTAACAAAACATGTATGGACTAAAGTGGCATTGGGCTTTGTACAGTGTCTTGAGATATTTGAACTGTGTGACAGCCATGGAAGGCCTCTGATGATTCTGCGTGTGTGTGTCACACTTGGGTCAAAGAAACCATGCTTTTACTCTTGTGAGTAGATGGCAGGTGGTTTTCTGATGACTTGTAGTCCTCTTGCTTGCCTGGTTTGAGCTGTCTGGTTTGGGATGAGGGGATTGGCAGAGAAACAGTTCATGGTTAATAAACAAAGGCCTCTTCCTGTTCTTATTTTTGTTGTGTATGTCCAGGATTTAGAAGAATTCTGCTTTAAGTTTTGCATCAATCATTTGACAGAAGTTACACAGACTACGGCATTTTGGCAAATGGATGGCCCCCTGCTAAAGGAGTTCATTGCTAAAGCCAGTAAATGTGGAGCCTTTAAGAACTGAATGAAGCCTGAGGCTGCTGGGCTGGGTGTGAGTGCTCTGGGGCACGGTGGGTGATGTGATTCTGCAGGTAAAACCCCACCAGGTTGCTTTTGTCACATCAGAGACAGTGCTCTGTAGGAATATATGAAGGATGTTTGCTTTTCATGAGCCTGTTTTACACAACTCTTGTTTCTAGATATGTATATTTTAAATGTGATTTTCTTATATTTGGCTGATCTCTGTGAAAGGATGAAAGTTTAGTTGCTTTTGATTTTTTAGTTTTGATGAGAGGATCTTTTGAACTTGGATTAAGGAAGTTGGTGAGATGTCTCTGGTTCTTTGACAACAAGCCTGTTCACACTGTCGGTGAAGGACAAGCCCAGTCCAGTGCTCCTGAGTGCTGCTCACTGTCACCACCTTCCCGTGGGAGCAC